GGTTTGCCCAGTCCAATTCTGTTTTCTGGCAAAGCTGCCATTGGTCTTTGCAGAGACTTTTCTTTAAGTCTCTTGCAAGCAATGCACTTACTGATAATTTTCTTTATCGTTTTCCTTCCCCTGATTATCCAAAATTTCTCTCTCAGCTTTGATAAAATGAATTGCACGCCTACATGTCCATTCTTCAGGTGCACTTCCCATATAAGTTGCTCTACGAAGGGATGGTCGCCTGGTAGAATGATAGGAGTTTTAAATTCTTCTGGGACCTGTCCATGTAAAAGTTTGCTTTCTACACACCAAAGTCCGTCAGTGTTTTTTAATATTTTAAAACTCTTGGTTGCATTCGATTTCTCTATGGAGACTTTCTCCTGAATCATTCGGATAAGCTTTTTTTCTGCCAAGTCTAATTCTGAAACTTTCAAAGGTCCTGTTTCAGTTGACTGTTTTTTTTAAGTTTCCCTAAAAATCTTAAAACATAGGACATTACCCTGATGTTGAGAGAGTAATTAGACCTCCTTGTCAGTATCCAGTCTTTATAATCGATGTTCAAATTAATGTTGGTTTTCATAATATTTTCTTCAACCTTTATTTCTTTTGGATTTATCGAGAACTCTGAATTGGGCCAGAATTCTTTAGGTTTTTTCAACCATTCGGGGCCCTCCCACCATCTGCTTTGCACAAACTGGTTTGGAGGGCAACCTCGAGACAGAAGATCGGCCGGGTTCAACTGACTAGGAACGAACTTCCAATCGCTCAAATTGGTAGTGGCCTGTATTTCTCTGACTCGGTTTCTCACGAAAACTCTCCACTCAATTTCTCTCTTTATCCAACTTAGCGCGGTAGTAGAGTCAGACCAAAGAGTTGTTTCACATTTTCTCTTCAAGGCAGCTTGGATTGCATTGGCTAGTCTAGCTCCTAGTACCATGGCCATTAATTCCAAGCGAGGGATCGTAATACTCTTCATAGGAGCTAATCTGACTTTGCTCCAAATCAAAGTTAGAGTATTTTCTCGTCCCGTTTCGCTCCTTAAATAGGCTACAGCTCCATAGCCTATTTGACTAGCGTCACAAAAGATATGAACTTCTGTAGGGAAAATGAGATCATTCCACATATATCTCGGTATCTTTATTAACTCTATTAATTTTATTTGATCCAACCAGGTTCGAAATTCCTGGGCCATACTTTCGGGTAGAGGTGTATCCCAACCTAGTTTCAGTCCCCATGATCGCTGCAGTAACAACTTTGGTGGCAAGAATACTGGAGCGCAAAATCCAAGTGGATCAAATATCCGCTGAACCATGGACAGTACCAGCCTTTTCGTTAATTTGGGTTGAATACTCAAATTGTCAGGGAGTTCGCATTTTAATGAATCTTCCATTTTATTCCAAACAACACCCAATATTTCTGTACAAGTCCCCTTTTCAGGGTTTTCCTCCAGAGAATATTACCACTCTCGTAAGTCCATTTTAGCCCTGTCCATAATTTCAATTGCGGCCTTTTGAAATTCCTGCACTTCCTGCTTTGTTTCCAGCGAGGTAATACAATTGTCCATGTAGAAGGATTGAGCTAAAATCTTTGCCCATTGAACAAGTGGGCCTCTTATTGATTGAAGATGGTATTCTATTACGGCGTTCAGCACAAAAGGACTACAGTTTAAGCCAAATACAAGTCTCTTATGCATGTAAGCTATTAGTTCTCTATCGCTCTCCTTTTCCCACCAAAGGAATCTAAGGTAGTTCCGTTCAGATTCTTCAATCGCCACCATCTGGAATGCTTTTCTTATATCTGCCGTGACTCCAAATTTATTTTCCCGAAATCTTATCATCATTTCAGGGATTCTTTCCAATAAATTCGGTCCCTTTTCTAAACATTGATTCAAAGATAGTCCATTATGACCTAGACAAGAAGCATCGAAAACCGGACGTATGGGCGTCGTTTTAGATTCCATCTTGTACACAGGGCGGTGAGGTAAATAGTAGCCTCTTCTCTCGAGAGGATTTTCCTCGACTCTTTCAATGAGTCCTTCAGTCAGCCAGTCTCTAAAGATCTGACTATATTCGGTCAACTTATTCTGTGAGGTCATTTTCTTAGTGCTTATATCTAACCTTTTTATCGCTATGTCAAGATTGCTGGGGATTGACTCCTTTTCTACCTTCCAAGGTAGACCTACAGAATATCTCTCATCACTCTGTCTTTGAATTTTTGTTATAAACTTTTCTTTTATTTCCTGGTATCTGGTCTCTTTGGAGCAAGTTTCAACAGGATCCCTGATGCCTAATACTTCTAGATCCCACAAATCCTTTAAATCGCATCGCGTTGTTAGCAGATTCAAAGTCTGCTGCACATTGTCATTGCTATCAATAATTGGCGAATTGCCCATTAGTGTCCAACCTAATTTCGTTTCCACCGCCGTTAAATCTGCTTCAACTTGAACTATTTTTCCTGTCAAAATCATACCTAGATAGTTAGCGCCAATCAATATGTCAATCTCTTGTCCTTTAAAATTGTCCTGAGACAATATTATGCCCTTAATCTTCAATTTTTCTAACCAGTCTCCTTTTGGCAAAGGTGGTATGGCGTCGCAAATTTTACGTTGATCCAGCGCCTCAATATGGATCACATCTCTTTTATTACCTAAATTCTCTAATTCTAACATAAATTTACCGTGCTTTTCTTCACCAATCTTATTACCTCCAAAAAGACTTTTAGCTATGGTTATTTCGCCTTTTCTCTCTAGTCCTATACTCCAGACTAACGACTGTTTGATATACGAAAACTGACTTCCACTGTCGAGGAGAATTCTAACCCTTCTAGAGGCATTTGGGCCTCTTAACAGTGCTACCGTTGTCATCAGCAAGACCTGACCGGTGCAGGCTTGACTAGAAAGCGATGCAATGGGTTCAGGTGCAATTTCCTTTAGATTTTCTCTTCCTGGTTTCGTTAACCGGTTAGAAGAATTTCCTTCACATAAAACTTCCAAGTGGTTTCTCCCACAGTTTTTGCACTCCAATTGTTCTCGGCACTGACTCTGTAAGTGTCCCTTTCTTAAGCATTTGAAACATAGATGGCCACTACGTATTTTATCATTTCTCTCTCCCGGAGACATTTTCATTATGGAGCGGCATTGATGACTCGCATGATTTGTTCTTTCACAAAAGAAGCATTTTATATTAGTTCGCCCTCCGAACAGACTAGACACAGTGGCGGGTCTGAAATTGCTCCTTGTTCTGGTCCCATCATTGTAAGACCTTTTATAGGGTTCCTCCTGCTTAAAGCCTTTTTCCACAAATTTCAGCCGTTGAGCACTCCTTACTTCGGCTTTTAGAAAGTCCAATAATAACCTTAGCCTTTCTTGAGCTCCTCCAACCCCTTTATCTGACTCTTCCCGTTTTGCTAACTCCATACCATAACCCGAAGAAGGATGCCTGTGCCATATTTTCAAAATATCCGAAGGTAATGAAGACTCGACAAGAGGGTATAAAAAAATACCCGACAACTGGGGATCAATGCCCAATGTCTCTAACGACCGGAGGTGACTGCTCAGTTCGTCGTACAGACTGCTTAAATTTCTATTTTCTTTCTTTACATTAGATATAACCGAATTCAATAGACGTCTGACATATAGTTCTGTCAGTATATTCGGGTCACCGAATCGCTCCTGTAGGGCTTGTACTGCCAAAACATAGTTGGCGCCTGTAACGGGATAGCTTGCTACAACACGATAGGCTTCTGAAATTGGTACAATTGCTTGACGCAAATATAAAAACCGGTCGCTATCGGATAAATTCTTATTTTCGTGAATTTTCGAAAACTGCGCCCACCAAGGCAACCAACCTTCCAGAGAGCCATCATAGCTTTTTAGGGCTAACTCTGGTAATTTCACATTTATTACAGTGTCCTCGCTAGCAATCGGGATTGTTTCTTCTTTATCGGGATTCTGTAGTACACTGACTTTCTGTTGAATATCAAACTTTTCCTCTTCATATTTATCGCATTCTTGCCATTCCCTATCAATACTTTCCTCTGTAATCCCTTCTTTCACTACCAATAAAGCCTGATATTTTTCGTTTAGATCTACAAGTTTCGTGTAATAAGACTCTAGTCTATTAAACTTAGAATAAATATCATTCCTATCAATTTGAGACTTTTCAAATTCTCCATTTATTTCATTAATAATTCTAGTGAAAGTACCTCTTATGGCTTTTCTGCGCTTTTTAATTGCATCCATTTCCTCCATATTTCCTTTAAATCGATCACGTCCGGCTCACCAAAATGTTTGTGTTCGTTTAAAAAACAAAAAAAGGGTGATCGATTGAAAGGAAAAACAATGGGGGAAATAAATGCACATAAAACACAGTATAACAAAAGGTTTTTATTTAAAAATTAAAACAAAAAGGGCTAAAAACTATTATATACTTATATGTAAAGAATCAAGCATAAAAAACAAAAAAAAGGTTAAGCAAAAAAAGTAAAGTAAAATTAAAGTAGTCTTAGGGAAGGGAGATAAAAAATAAGTGTCAGGGGGAATGTCCAGCGTTGTGTTCACACAGTACCTCGGGTGCAGCACCGTCGCTGGCTTAGCTTGGTTCCACTTTGTCGCGGCTCGTGCGATGTCCAAAGCGTCCTTTCCGTGTCCTTTCCGTCCACGAGACTCTGCTTGTGGGATACTCCAAGACGTCCTTTCCGTCCACAAGACGCTGCTTGTAGGATACTTCTCGGACGTCTTTCCGTCCACAAGACGCTGCTTGTGGGATACTCCTCAGGCGCGTCTGCCCCGCCTGGTCCGCTGCTTCTAACTAACTAAGCGAGAAAAAAGAAGACGCCACATGGCGGGCTGTCCCGGGCCTGCAGAACAACCAAACAAAATTCCAGACATCCACTTGACTTTTGCCTCCCCGGGCCATCTGGTGACCTTTGCCCTCGGTCGGTTCCAGCTGGGAGTTTCCCCGACCATGTCGATATCTTGCTCGTCCTTCATTCTATGTACAAAGTAAAAGAACGGTAAAATAGTTTTAACAGGTAGAATGCTCGCCTGCCACGCGGGCGGCCCAGGTTCGATTCCGGATGCATTTTTTTTTCCAATTTTTAAAACTCATTTATATTATTATCCCTATATACTTAGTCTAGCCATAAATATTGTTACAAAACCAAACCAGTGATAAAAAATTTAATTTGACTGTGTGAAGTATTCAAAATACAGTAGTTTTTATTTGAATATCTTGTGCACACGTGTTTAGAAAAATAAATCTGAATATATTTGTTTTTTGATAATGGATTGGGGTGTTAAAGAAAACCATATAGCTGTAATAGCCTTACACAAGGTAGGCCAAAGTCCTTCATCCATTTTTAAACTTTTCAAAATTTGAATATCACGCGTCAATTTGTTTGTCGAACCATTGAAAGGTTCAACAAGGCTGGCACTATTAATGATCTTGAAAGATCTGGTCAACCGCGCATGCAACGAAGGCAAGCAGATATAAAAGCCATTCGCGAAAGAATTCGTCGAAATCCATGCCGCAAACAAAAGATCTTAGCAAAGCAGAAGAATTTAGTTCCAAGAACCATTTCCAGGATAATCAACGAAGACCTTGGACTGAAAGCTTTCAAACGACGCACAGGTCATTTGATAACCCCTGCTCTTAGAGAAGTTAGAAGGGTTAGATAAAAAATGTTGTTGGCGCGGCATGATGGTCAGTGGCATGAGAGAATCCTTTTCACAGACGAGAAAATTTTAACTGTCGAGGAAAAGATTAATCGTCAGATTGATAGGATATATGCTCTTAGCTCTCTAGAAGCTTCTTTGAAAGTCAGAAGACTTGAAAAAAGGCTCCATCCATCTTCTGTCATGGTTTGGTGGGGAGTTAGCTACCAAGGTGTAGCAGATCTCCACTTCTGTGCCAAAGGGGTAAAAACTACAGCTGAAAACTATCAAGAATATATTTTGGAACAAAGAGTAAAGCCTCTAAATACAAAAATGTTTAATGGAACACATTGGATATTTCAACAAGATTCAGCTCCTGCTCACAAAGCTAAGTCAACTCAACAATGGTTGGAGACTAATGTTCCGGAGTTCATAAAGGCCAATGAATGGCCCTCTGGAAGCCCTGATTTAAACCCTCTTGATTACAGTTTGTGGGCATATTTAGAGGAGAAGGTGTGCTCTAAAAGATATCATAATTTGGCTCAATTGAAATCAGCATTGGTGAGAACAATGAAAGAAATACCCTTAGAAAAGGTGCGTACCACCGTAGATCAGTGGCCCGAACGTTTGAGATCCTGTGTCAAAAATAAGGGAGGACATTTTGAATGATTGTATATATTTAAAATCTATGTCCTATTGGCTAATAAAATATGTATTTATATTCCATTAGTTTTTGTTCTTAATCATTTAATTTATAAAATTATTTGTAACAGAATTTATGGCTATACTGTGTATATAAAAGTCAGCGTATGTATGTATGTTTGTCAACTATACACGTCCACAATACGTAACTAATCTGACTGAAATTTTAATAGTATATAAAATAGAATCTGGAAAAACTCAGTGAAAATTTCAGGTCTCTATCCCGAATATCCGTCGTGTTATTTGCAAATTTGCTCTTTCGCTCGCGCCTCTAGCGGTGAAAATGGGGGGTAATACCAGCTGACCTAATGTACATGTAAAGTTTGGGGCGGGACGTTTCACACGACTCCAATTTATAATTGTAACGAATAGTATTTGAATAAAAAAAATTAATCGGGTAAAACCCGGGCGTGCTAGTTACTATATAAGAAGTGGCGATGACTTGTATGTTTTTGGAGAATCTATTTGCTGTTATGTAAAGTGGCTGAAACAGGAATAACCATCCAAATTATTGTTGAGTCAAATTTTCCACAAAAAAAGACCCAACAATGATGTAAACATTTACATCATATATATACACAGTGTCTCGCCGAAAGTGTTTGGTGTCCAGATGGAGACCCCACCACGGTGGCCGACGATGCCCTAAAGGATCGAGGCAGGGGAGGACACCCGATCGGAGATAACGCTGGTGGTACCGTGACCGAGATACCGGTCGACCCTCCACAAAAGAACAACAACGAGGCGGATTGGAGAATGAAGACACCAGAAGCCGGAGAAGATGCCCAGCGAGAGATGGCACCTATGCCTTTAAAGTCCAGAAAGGTGGAGATGACACGAATCCTGCCCAAGGATCCTGGAGCCCATTGCAGAGAGGTCCAGCGAAGGATCTACACCAGAAGCCGGAGAAGATGCCCAGCGAGATATGGCACCTATGCCTTTAAAGTCCAGAAAGATGGAGATGACACGGGTCCTGCCCGAGGATCCTGAAGCCCATCGCAGAGAGGTCCAGAGGAGGATATGCCAACCTTATAAATATGTAAATAGATTCGCCAATCACCTTTTTATATGCAATGAAACGTCCAACATCATATTGCCTTTAGGGAAATTTCAAGTCCATTCTTTATTCTAAAATGAATAAAATCAATTAAATACATGCCCAGATCAATTTTATTATTATCTCAAGCTCTCTTTTAAAGAGAAGAAGTTTAATTTCGAATTTCTTAAAGAAGAAATTACTTTAAATTTAAAATAAATAAATTTATATTTTATTATCCATATTTGATCAATTTTATTATTATCTCAAGCTCTCTTTTAAAGAGAAGAAGTTTAATTTCGAATTTCTTAAAGAAGAAATTACTTTAAATTTAAAATAAATAAATTTATATTTTATTATCCCTATTTGATCAATTTTATTATTATCTCAAACTTTTTAATAAGAATAAGTCTAATTTCGAATTTCTTAAAGTAGAAATTACTTTAAATTTAAAGATAAAGTTTTATATTTTATTATCCTTATTTTTATCAATTTTTTTTTATTACCTCCAACTTTTCTTTAAAAAAAAAAGGAAGTTTAATTTCAAATTCCTTAAAGGAGAAATTATTTTAGATTTCTCAAAGGATTAAGCATCTATATTTATTATTTCGAAATTTTTCTTTTAAAAATAATAATAATATTTTATTTTTTTTATTATATTCTAAGAATATTAATTTTTTTTTACTCTGTAGGAAGATGAGGACTCACCTCGCGGGATTGTTTTGAGGATAACGGTCAGTTTTTGAACGGGCGGGGCGGCGTACAAGGGTGACCTATCCAAGGGGGAAGGCTGGTGTCCAGGAGATACGGTATGTTAGCATCTTTCCCATTAATTTAGAGCATGTTCAATATGTCAGAGGGATAAAATTTAGCTTATTTTTTTTATATGGAAGAAGAATTCATATTTTATCTTTTGCGTGAGTCTTAGTGTTTAGCAAAAATCTGCCGAGGCAGTAGTTACATGTTTCTAATAGAATAAAATCCATTCTTGCTCAAATCCTTAAACAAAATTTTTTACCCATGTAAAACTGCCTATAAAAAGAAACTTGTAAGACGCACAGTGATAACAATAAAACTTTTGAGTTATTATTTCAAACATGTGTCTGTGATACTTTTACCCCGGAAACAATATATATTACGTATTAAACATGGATCTTTTGTGTTCGTTATATTCTATTACATGTGTATCTGTGTTTTAGCCCAAGTTGGTAAACAATTTAAAGGTTACTTCTATTACTGAGCTAGTCAGGTTCGAGACAGGGATGTCCTTAAATAGGACATGAAAAATGTCCCTACATTTTGGCGCCCACGCGAGGCGAGTTACTGTTGAAAATTGCAAAGCAACTTTGCGAGAAGTAAACCCTACGACCTGAGATAAAAATCCATGACTCTGCCATTTATTACGTTAGGTTTAAATAAAAAACGTTGTAAGCTAAAATTTTTATTACGTTAGGTTTAAATAAAAAAACGTTGTAAGCAAAAATTTTTATTACGTTAGGTTTAAATAAAAAAAATGTTGTAAACAAAAAAATTTTATTACGTTTGGTTTAAATAAAAACGTTGTAAGCTAAAATTTTCATTACGTTAGGTTTAAATAAAAAAAACGTAAGCTAAAATTTTAATTACGTTAGGTTTAAATAAAAAACGTTGTAAGCAAAAATTTTTATTACGTTAGGTTTAAATAAAAAACGTTGTAAACAAAAAAATTTTATTACGTTAGGTTTAAATAAAAAACGTTGAAAGCTAAAATTTTATTACGTTAGGTTTAAATAAAAAAAGGACGTTGTAAGCTAAAATTTTTTTATTGCGTTAGGCTTAAATAGAAATTCATAAAGAAATTTAGTGTTTGATATGCCCATTTTAGTGTAATTTTTTTTCTCCATGTTTTAAAGCAGACCTTGCTTAATATCCAGAAAATGCGTTACAATAGCGTACGACCGTTGTAAAATTTTTAATTTTTTATTATTTCTCTATGTATTCATGATAACCGTTGTCTATTCGCGTGTATCATTTTTCGTTCTTTTATTTAAAAAAATGTTTGTTGCCTAAAGTTTGGTTCACTTTAGTGTATTTTATGTTTTAGAGCGAACTGTGCAATATCCAAAATATACGCGTGTTATTTTGTACCTTTTATTCAAAGTTGTCCTTCATCCACTTTAAAAATACAATTTAGTCCACTTTAGGGTATTTTTCATGCTTCAGAGCGAACTTTGCAATATACCCAAAATATACGCGTGTGTAATTTTATACCTTTTATTCAAAGTTGTCCTTCATTCACTTTAAAAATACAATTTAGTCCACTTTAGTATACTTTTCATGCTTCAGAGCGAACTCTACAATATCCAATTTTTTTTTGTGTGTATTTGGTGAACGTCTTATTAGTGAAAAGAGTCACGCTTTGGTCTACCTTTTTTTCCCCCCTTCTTTGAATATTGTTTTGGATGGTTCTTAAAACATTGGGACGCGAACTTAGGCCTAAAAGGAACAATGCTTTCTCAGAAACCTGAGAATTTCCCACGAGTTCCAAATTTGGAGTCCTTAGGGACACATGTGTTCCCCCCTCCTGCTAACACGTGTGCATGGGGGGTGGAGAAAAGAGGTATTTTTGGGGAGGACATGTGTAAAACACATGTGTTGACAATAGCTGGGAAGGAAGAAACAACGAGGAGTTCAGTCGTCTCCCAGCATCAGATTGAAAAGGTCGG